GGGGGGGGGAGGGTCTACGATTTATCTGTGAATGAGGCATCTTCCGAAGCTTTCACTGTTAGAAAGGTGAACAGAAATGATTCCTTCAAATCTACCTACAGCGCATTGCTGCCATTAATTCAGCTAGATCTACCATCATACTCTCTACCACAATGCCAAAAGAAGAATGGGACAGGGGTAATGTAGAGAGAACAGACGCTGTACCTGGGCGGAAGTTCACTTGAAAATCTCCCATGTTGGCCATACCCCGCCTTCCTACTGAATAGAACAGATTAGTGCCATAGACGTGTGAGGATGCGAGACTAGATTTGTACATCGAGCTCCTTGCATGCTATTGAATAAGTCAAGTGATTGGTGGAATGCCAGTTATCCTACATTTCTTTTATACTACAGTGTGACTGGTAACGACCAACCTGCGAGTTCAGTCGGATATTCTCGGGATCAGTGATATCGTACTGTCTAATATCACCATGAATCCAGTTTGAGATGTAAAGATATTTGTCGTCCATCGAAATGATAATATCGGTAATAAGTGATGGCATTTTCGGTAACAACCAGCCTTCCACCTGGAATGACGAAGCTGGTAAACTGGAAAGTTGAAAACAAAGTGATTTTTGAGTATATTTGACGGTTCGTGGCGGGAATGGTATAGCGGCAAGTGGCGCACTGTCGCACGCGCATGGTCACGGACTCGAGTCTCGGACCGATATCCATCCAGACCAACCAAGCGTTCCATCCTTAAGGGGTCGCTTAATCGGTACCAGGCTCGTATGCGGGGATAAAAGCAGTGATTTGTACATCGGCTGGCCTCCGCAAGTATTGTGTAGGCCATATACCATTCAATATGCCACCACGATTCTGGATGGAAGTCAAATGCATGGGCGCTTCCCTCAGACGGGACTGACTGAAGCCAAATCTTTTTACTGTTTCAACTTTTCAAAATGATTGCCGCTGTTCTCCAACTTCAACTTCACCTATTCGGCAGAGAGCAGCCGCTTGGACCTCTGAAATCATCGTGACGCATCTTCTCACTCACATCTAGTCTCATCTCATTGTGAGTATATCAAAGGAATGGGCCTGTGCGTCTCTTAGGGAGACGGGCAGTGAGATCGGTTTTGTTAAATCGATTCGCCGCACGCGGCTGTCGCGGACCATTGGCTTCGCCGTCATTACAGCTCTACTAATCTTCATAGAGCTCAGTCGATATGCGATCATTATTTCAGACATGACACTAGTGTTAGTTCTTTTTTCCTGTATTTCTTATCTGCTGCTGCATTCTGCTACGTTCCTTCGCGTGCGGCATCCCTCCCGCCGCAATGCGACAATTCCGACCTTACTGCACCACTCCTTGTTTCTTTGGAAAGAAAAAGTGAAACGTTTGTAGGTAAAAGCTGAAAAATATCAAATCCAAGTTACGGATAGGAGAATTCGGTCTTAGGAAGGCGAAACCCCACATTTCTTCCAGAAATAAAGCACGACTATGTTGCATCATAAACCAACCTGTTTCGACGGCACTCTCACAACACATTTTGCTTCGTACTTTGTGCCGTCCTGAAAACAAATTCTGATTAGCCATGTGTTCAAGAAGCTCGGCGAATACTTCCACTTCTACTCATCCTCGCGAATCATCGCCTCTTCGCGAATTTCTTTTGATTTTTGATTAATTTCTCCGGCTAGCCATACTCCCCAGAGCTACTCAGTTGTCAATCGTACCGACTTGAGAGCGAAGACCACGTGATTTCTAATACTTTGTTTATCGCCTACCAACTATCTTATGTTTGTGGTAAAGATTTGTCTGACTCTCATCTGTACTATCTAAATCGTATGGATTTTGCTATCGAATTAATACGATTGCCAGATTTGTTAGGAACCATCATGAAATTGAATATAATATTGAACATTCGTAAAGACAAAGGGAGAAATTTCTGTAATATCTCGAGCCAATTTGATTTCTTCAGGGTTGTTTTTGGAATCTTCTTTTTGTTCCCTTTTCCACGATCATTTTCATTATCCGTTTAAAACCGGATACCCCAAAACTATCGTGAACTGTGCATTTAAAATTCCTTCTCCTAGCTTCCTATTTTACCTACGTGGGTTCCACCTAGGTAAAATAGGAGGGGACCACAGGTTTATCATAGGGTGATATTTCAGAAGCCATCTATATCGTGAACTATGGAGGACTTCTATGGAGTACAGTTCAGCCGAATATCATAACGAAAAACAACTAACACTGGTAGGACGGAAAAGGAAAACAGATGAACCGAGAGCAGTTCCAGCGAAAGCGTATGGACTAGTAGGTTCGTGAAGGAATCTGAACATATTCTCCAGAGATTCACAACAATATGAACTAGGTGGATTCAGAAGACAACCAGCCAGACAAACCTGACTTCAAGCGGAAGTGCCCCTTCTGGCATAGGAAGATCGATTGTTTGAAGTTTTTCATGTGTTGACCACTTGAAAAGATGCACAGAGTGCCCATACTCACCTTAACAATTACATGTGCTGTTCAAACTGAAACGATGTCAAAACAGATTACTTTAGAAGGGGCAAAGGGGACTTAGTGATGATTCAGTTTATCAGAACTTACCTTCCTCGACGTTTTTCAGCTTGAAACCTTGTTTGATTAAATTGGGTGTACCCCATTCGGTGGATATCATCACATCTCGACGCGGTTGATACCAAAAGTCATAGTTGAAGGGNTGCCAAACCAGTTTACTTTAGAAGGAGCGAAGGTTTTTTGTTAGTGACTTATTGATGGCACAAATAATCAGTACTTACCTTCCTCAACATTTTTCAATTTGAAACCTTGTTTGATCAAATTTGGTGTACCCCATTCGGTGGATATCATCACATCTCGACGCGGTTGATACCAAAAGTCATAGTTGAAGGGGACACTAAATTTGGGATGAAGCCAGCACCCCTTTGGCTCGAATGTCTGACCATCAAGTAGAAGGAAGTTGCCTGAAACGAACGAATTTCGAATAGATCATCACCAATACGTCTTTCATGCATATGATGAGAGGTGAAGAGGTCAGCCCAGTCATTTATAATAATCAGGACAGATGTGTAAGTTACTAGTCGCACAGCTCAACTAATTTCCAGCCTTTCCCCTTCAATAAGGGAATAAATTGACCATGTGACCAACGAAGAACCTTCACAACTGCCGAGTCGCATGGGTGGGATTTCGGCCCACAAAGGGGAAAAGACTAGTCATTGCGGAAGTCAGTGCTTTGTCTCCCAAAAGAGTTCGCCAACTAGCCAACCCTTATGGTCGATAGCCTTTGAGGGTTAAGACCCACCCGGAACCGTAGGTGCGGCAGCTAGGGAGGGTTCCTACTGAGAATAGAAACTTATCCAAATCAAAACCATCGCTTTCACTGAGCAGAATTTGAGGGAGGAAGTACACTGAGGTCAATGAATCCCATCATTACCTTTGTGATTTCCATTTTCATCTCCCAACGTGCTGATCATGATATTTCCATCGGCTAAGCAATGGGAAGTATGTGGAAAAGAAACCCCTTGTTTGTGAACTTCCACGGGTTCGATAGCCTAGAACAGATTTTAAAGAAACTACTTTTGATCCAGTCTAGAGAAAGATTCCACTAGAAACTGTTCCGCTAGAGAATTCTGAAACGAACCTTCACCAGGTAAATGTTCCTTTCATTTTCAACGTTGACAATATAAATACGACTCGAGTTCAGGCATGGAACAACTAGATGGCTCCTATAAAAAAGCAGTCACCCATATAGGTATAGTAACGATGCCTGGCTTACCTTTTTGCAGACGGGTTACCATGACAAGATGAACATGCGTTCCAACCTGTATGGTGTACTTCATCACCTTTGTACGGGACTACAACTCGGGAAACCACCTGAAACGGAAAGAAACTTAATGGACTTTTGGAAAATAGATCAAACAGCGGCAGTGCTGTCCTGTTTTGCTGCCGATGGAGAATTTTTCCAGTCTGTGGGAATAAGCCATGCGTCCTGCTCACATTCAGAATAGCAGATGTGATTGCTTCGAATTGACTACGATACAGTTGCATTACCGTATCTTAGTCTAATTCTTCAAGGATTACCCATGTTTCGCATCCCCTCGGACAGGATAGTGGTCTTCCAAAATATTACTGTAACAACTAATCCAGTGCATTGAAGCGGGACCAACCCACACTTGTTGCATAGCCATGTGCCCTTAGTTTCCCACCCACCAACTTTATTATAATGGGACGTCCCAAGTACATTTTCTTCAAGTGTTAAAAAAGTGGTTGGCTTACTTTGCAAAACGTTTCACTGTTTGGGTCGACGTCTACGGCAGCCAACATATCTTCTTTGGTGGGATCGGTATTGGCACAGGTGGTGAATAATATCTGAAAAAAGATAGCTTGTAGAAGGGTCTTAAGAGAGAAATTGTAGTGCTGTAAGAATGACTTGACTAGCGACCCCAGGATTATCCCACTTGAAACTGTTCCCCTTTCTGAGGTACTACATTCTTGCCGGGTCTATGACAACGCGATGGAATCAGAACCGCGCTCGGCTTAAAAACCTCTTCCCAAACTCCTTATCAAAAACCCCTGGATGACGCCCATTTTCACTTTCGATTACAACCCCAGGAGACCATTTGTGTTGGAAATACTTCATATACTTGAAGGCACAGTTCACGATGAAAATGCACACTTGTTGCGCAAATCCAGCATGTGAACAGCGGGAAGGAGCAGCCCTCCGAATTTTGGAAGAAATAGCAAGAAACAAGACAAAAGACAAGTATGGCGAAGCTTATAGACCTTCATAGGTGGAAAACGCAGTTAATTAACCACCTACCTTTTCACGAGGTCCTTTAATTGCTTCTTGTGGACTAGCATAGCCGGGACCACAACATTTCGGCTTGGTATTGCTCATTCTGAAAAGGAAATCAGGTTTTCTCTCAAAACTCTCAAATAAGTATATTCGAAGTACATATAAATGTACACTGCGTGCAAAACTGAAGAGCGAGGTAGTTAAAATAATAAACCTCCTAACTCCCCAGAACTCAATCGAATGGACTTCTCCGTTTGGAGCTATCTGCAGCAGTATGTGTCTTCTTCACACCTCCGCAGTTTGGACAGTCTAGAAGCAGCTCTTCAAAGGGAGCGGCAGAAAATTGATGTCGACTACTTGCGGCCCACCGTGGGAGCCTTCACGAAGAGATTAGAAGCTTGTATTCTGGCCAAAGGCGATCATTTCGAACAATACAGCGAATAAATGTACCTTTATCTTAGTAATACCATTTGATTAAAATTCTTGAAGAAATGTGTCCTATTTATTTTTTTACATGAGAATAAATACCGGACCATTCTTTGAATAAATACCGGACCATTCTTTGCAGCCACCCTGTATAAGCAGTAAGTATATCCCGAGAAGCCAAATACACAAGTAGGCGTACATATATTGCTCCTAACGTCTAATTTAATGCTTAACTTTGTCATAAAATGGCTGAAGTGGTGTAGTGGCAAATGGTGCACTATCCCATATGTATGGTCATGTATTCGAATCCCGGATTGATATACGCCTAGGACAACCCAGTTTTCCGTCACTCCGGGGTTGGTAAATTGGTACCAGACTAGCCTGGGAGGGTGAAGTAGTGGCTTGTACATTGGTTGGCCCCCGCATTCATTGTAGAGGCCGCATACGCAATACGCCACTACGATTCTGAATGTAAGTCGAATGCGGGGCGTATCCCTCAGAAGGGACTGATTAACACCCTGCGACTTTATCCTTTACCTGGTACTTATAAATTGCTTGATAAGCAGGACTTGTATGAAATGAAGATCTGTGGTGATCACCTGCAACAGTTGAAAAAGGAAGCGCACATCATTATGCTGAAAGTAGTATCTCTTCGATACGTATGTAACGAGGTCGACTGAAGACAACTTCAAAACTTTAGATCATGAGCGAATCCATTCCTTTCTCATTTGCAAGTTGTTGGTAATCGAATATTCGCATCGTTTATAGAATGATTACAAATATAAGCAGATGGCAGTCAGTCAGTCGAAGCTGGCTTGACTAGACGAAAGCAATTTCTAGCGATTTCGAAAGTTTCTGGCAATGAACTTGACAGACGAATGGCTATGCTTCATTATGCTTTGGTATTTCACGTGAGAAAGTAACGAGAAAGCAATTATTGAATTAATGGCAAATCGTATTGTCGCTAGGCTCGGTACAGTCATTGATGCCCTAGAGTACAAGGCTCCCACCTTCAATGGATACTGAATTAGTTTTGAATAATTTCAGTCCAAGTTTCTGTTTTTATTTTTCTGCCCCTTCTATACTGTCGACAGAGAGGTGGTGTGATGGCAAGTGGCGCACTATCTCACACTGTGATCGAGGGTTCAAATTCTGACCGATTTCGGCCTTACAATTAACGAACCAAGCTTTCCATCCCTCGGGAGTCGAATAATTGGTACCAGATTCGTCTGGGAGGATGAAACACTGACTTGTTCATCGGTTAGTCTCCGCAATTCATAGTACATATAGGCCCTGCGCGACTACGATTCTGAATTGAAGTCGAATGCTGAACTCATCTCCCAGAAGGGATTGATTAAGGCCCAAATACTTTATCTTGATCCTTCTATTTTGCTGTCATGGCCCGAGGTTGTGTAGTGCCAAGTAGCGTGCCACCATACATCCATTCAACCAAACCCTCCTTCACTCTGGGGTCGATTAAGTGGTTCGTATAGAAAGGCAAAAGCCTGAATCTGTACCGTTTCGCCCACACAAGTTCCTGGATAACATGCAGTTGCCACTACGATTCTGAATGAAACGCGAGCGCGTGGGCACATCCCACAAAGCCCACGAGCTCCATCCCCACCTAGCGCTTCTAGTCGCAATCGAATTCCGTAAGCAGAGGTCTAGTTTGCGATTCCCTAAATTTTGGTATTATATATAATCTTTCACGACAAAGAAATATTTGTGCTTATATGAAGGGCGCATTGCCCACCCATTGCATCCTCATTTCAAAAGGGTCACGAGTGCTCCTCTTGAGGAAGCTGACCAGATGAACAAACACGAACCCCATCTAGAAGGGTCAGATATATTTTATAGTAGAGCTTCCTCGTTCCCCACATTTGACCTTAACAATATAATAACAACTGATATTACTGAAAGAACATCGTTCGCCTTCAACTTTTTCTCAGGCACTAATAGCAGCAGCCCAGATTGTCCAAGCCAGTTTATAGGAGTAGCATGAAGAGGACGGAAACCTGCCACTCTTAAATCAGAAAAATATAAACATTCCTAGAATTTGTTTGATAGAGGATGAAACGTGGCACGAACGGAACTGTTTGGGGCTGATACGACAGAGAGAGGTGGCCATGATTCTTGTCTTCTGACTTTTCGCGTTTCTACTCTTCCATTGTTTTTGTTTTCCCTCCACAACTAATGACTGTAAACAACTAGGAGATCGAACTTCATGGCTGGCGTGTTGGCCTGTATTACATCACTATTGCTCATTGCCCCTGAAAATCATCTTTCTACCACGATAGCGATTTCAGGGGACAACTCCCTCTCCCAATCTGTTGGACTAGACCTCATGCTGGAATGATTGTAGAAAGAGAGAGTAGAAGGCGAAATTAACGGGAAAGAGGACTTGGAACAAGGAACACAAGCTGTACCTGGGAAGAGAAGTTGTTGTCAAACTACAGAATGATACGAGCGATACTCATTTGAAAGTGAGTCATTGCTATGGGGCTGCCACGGCTTAGATAAGATCACAATGGGTCGGTTAGCCACAAATGGGATGTCCCTAAAAGATATTGGTAACGGAACTGCCATAGGAACGTACTAATATAAAGATCCTGCATGAAACGCTTTTCAGTCAGTCAGCCAGGAAAGGAGCCTCAGGTGGTAGTAATTTGAAATTTTTATTTACCCAGCTGTGTTAGATTACTGGAAAGATTTAATTATGCGAATAAGTCATCAAGGAATTAATCAAGTTGTAAATAAAGATGTAATAAAACATCGAAGATTAGAAATTCAATGAATTTTCGCAAAGTTTTTAAGTCTGCATCATTTTGCAAAAGAAAAGGTGTTGGTATAAAATGTTTACTGAGTAGGCATGGCACAACAGTTGTTGATCGATAGGAGGGGGTCAACAGACTGATAACACGGTTGATCGCAAACCAAAGAAGTAATTCCTTGTGGCAGATAGTTAACGTGAAGGTCAGCGAACGGGAGTGATTCAGAGGTCAAAAGGAACGAGAGTGTTCTTTGGCCCTGCATTTCGCTAGGATCACTGTTTTCTGTACTATGAAGTTCCCATTTTTGTTAGAGATTTAGTTTACTTATTCGTTTGTTTTCTTATCTTTATTTAGTTGTTTTCAATGTGCTTCAAAAAAGTAACAAGTGGTCCTGGAATGGGAGCGAGTGAAAGGGAGGGCTTGGCTATATGACATAGATGAAAGAGGGGAAATGAACGATCCATTATCCAGTTTCTTCTTTTCAAAATTACAGGAAGTAGAGGGGAAAACAGCAACAACTCGCCAATGATATCTCAATTTTATATAATAAAAAACAATTACAGTACCCAAACATGGAAAGCTATTTATGTCCTTCGAAGATGGATCGCAGTTCACCTGTGTAAATGAGAACAGGGCAGTCCAGCCAAGAGGAGCTGCAATGACCATTAGGATCGAATTCGTCCATGTCGAAACGGTCTGAACGTCCTTTGAGTACAATAACTTTTAGACTAATTTTCCTATGTAATAAGTACAGTCGGGCGGAGGTGGTGTAGTGGCAAGTGGCGCACTATATCACACGCACGGTCAGGGGTTCGAATCCCGGATCGATGCCCGCCTAGGCCAACCAAGCCTTCCATCCCTCCGGGGTCGGTTAATTGGTACCAGATTCGTCTGGGAGGATAAAAGCACTGACTTGTACATCGGCTGGCCACCGCAAGTCATTGTATAGGCCACATACGCACTCATTACGCCACTACGATTCTGAATGGAAGTCGAGTGCGGGGGCGCATCCCTCAGACGGGATTGATTAACGCCAAAAACTTTATCCTTTATCCTTATCCTTTAATAAGTACAGTTAATAATAAAGTATAGGTATTATATTTTGCAATAATCCTAAAATACCTAAAAAGTATGTAGGATGCCCATGTACGCCTTGAGATGCTCTTGTAGTCAGCCCCATTCATAGAGACTGCTACTGAAGCAGGGCCCAATCTTTTCACAGCACCTACCAGAGAATTGATGGTAGACTCAATTCAATAAAATTTAAATTCTCTACGGATGCTGTGAAAAGACTGACCAGTGCTATTTTATCCTATCATCCTATCACAGTTAGCCCGTGGGCACTTTAGCTAGCGCCGGCCACCTTACAGTTAGGAGAGTCAGGTCACAACGATGACTATTTTTATCCAATCTTTTATTTCATAATTGGACGGGAGTGGTGTAGTGGCAATGGCGCGCTAACTCACTCACATGGTCACAGGTTCGAACTTCGGACTGATGTCAGCTAGGCCAAACAAGCCTTTGGTCCTTTTGGTGTGGGGTAATCTATACCAGACTCGTCTAGGAGGGTAGAAGCACTGACTCGTCCATCGGCTGGCTTCCGCAATTCATAGTATAGGCCACATACGCTTTCGACACCACTACGATTTTGAATGGAAGTCGAGTGCAGGGCGAATCCCTCTGACGGGATCGACTAACGCCTAAAGACTTTATCCTTTATTCTTCAGACTCCATAATGATGTTCAGTGAACTCCCTTTTTCCGCTATGTACATACCTTTGGTACTCCTAACTTTGTTGAGAAGTTCCAGGAACAACAAAAGTTGGGGCAATACGAACAGATACAAGAACAAAGGTAACGTGGAGCATTTCGCTTGGACTGGCTTTGTTGGAGTAATGAGGGCAAC